TAACAGTGTTCAGTGCTTTTATCCACTCAGCCATTGGAGCGAATGAGACTTTGGTAATCGCAGATTTCAAAATTAAATACTTCTATAGACATTGAAGTTTCTTTACATCCATCGCCATTTTAAAATTTATATTAACATACCGAATAAGCATAATACAAAATAATATATACATAATTCTTTTCTCCATGCGGACACTAAGAGTACCTTTTTACCATGCCAATTACGGATTTGGCTAGGACAACAGTAAGGAGAGGTCGAGTGGTGAGAGATGGGATCTGACATATCTAGGTCAACTCTCCTTGATAATATGTACAGTACAAGCATTCGAAGTTAAATCGAATTAATTAAAATCATTAAATTAAACTATTAACCAATGATTAATTTCAAGATGGCGCTTACAAATTTCCTGTATGTAACACAGTAATCATGTGTATAAGTAACAAAATTGCTACTGGACACTAATTTATTAAGTTTAGAAATAGAAAATGTTTGTTTGTAACTCTATAACATAAAGTAAACGAAGTAATATTGAAATTTGTTTTGAAGTAATTAAGAAAATACGATAACGTAGTGTATTTACATACGATACATTACACTAATGCCTACATTTAATTCTTGTAACGTAAATAGTAACAAATTACGAGTCATTCGAAGTTATCAATACAATGTTGACGTTTCCGATTACAAATGTTTTCAACTTCAATACTCTTGTCCTCGAACCTTTTAGTTATGAAACTACTGTATTTCATATTACTATCAGAATTAAAGGGTTGCTACATAAAGAATCATTGATTGACAGTGCTTAAATTTCTCCAGCGTGGTATATTTACCGGTATAATTACTTACACGATACATTGTATATTAAGCACTGTCTTGATCTCCCTACTTGATAGATGAAGTCACGATTTTCAGTATCTAAAAAGTGTTGCCAACTCGAAATGCTTTTTAAAAATGGTGAAAAACAAAAAAAAAATGTATATTTTTAAATAACATTTAATTTATTTACGTTTAGTAATTTAGAAAGTTGGTAATTTCAGTTACGAAGACGTAAAGATGCCTTATAATAAATTATATGGCATCTTTCTGAAGTCCTACAATGTACTGAATTGTAGGGCACTATATATAGGTCGTACAAATAGGTTAAAGTTCAAGCTTTTGCTTACACTTTTACTGTTAATCATTATTGGTTCCATATCAATCGTGCAATATCCGGTGTTTTTAGGAATTTTCCTGTTTGACAATTATCCACAAAACCAAGATAAAGTAACAGGAAAATGATTTAACAAATTATAATTATCTAATCAGCCTTTTTATGTTTAAAATGCCTGATTACAACTGTGTTTTTGAACAATATTTAAAACATTCCAATTGATTCTTCTACAGGCGCCATTTTGAAACAATATGGCGCCTGTAGAAGAATCGTTTGGCACGGCATTTTTTTCTGATTAGATATTAAAATTTATATCGAAATTTTACTCTTATACTTTATCAGATGAATATACAGTATATGGTAGTAGTAACCATCGAAGGACAAAACATACAAAACTCTTCCTGCTTTATACACTGTATTTAAATGAAAAAATATTTAAAAAAAATTATTTTACTCTCGATACAATAATTTACATTAATTTTTTAAAATTTATATTTAAGAATAACGAAAAAATATTCGTGAATACGTCGCCATTATTCACCCTCCTTAAAATAATACATGATTTTATCGGTGCTGCCATCTAGTAGTAAATATTTCATATTATTTATCATTGACGTAATCGAAGATAATTAATGAATATTTCTTGTTAAAATAGGTATACATGATCTAAATATCTCAATTCCATCAAAAATATTTAAGATATCCTTATATAATATAAACAAAACTATTAATTATCAACTCGAAGAGATAATATACAATTGAGAATAAAGGTCATTCTACTCTATTAACTGTATCTAAGGCCCTGAATCGTAAACTAATTAGATCTTGATGTATTTAAAGCATACTCCAAAGGATAATATTTGTTTCTAGTGTTCATTTCATGTGTAAAACACAGTTTAACATTAGCCTAACGTACACAGTATATTCTGTATTTAAACACTGAAGAACACAGTAGCTATTGTATTAGCTATGATAATCACACTAGAGTTTGAGTTTGGTAAACAACATTTCTTATAATTTAACTATAAAAAAATTAGCCTATAGTGTATTTAACAATTCTTAAGAGGCACAATTCTTTTTGTATAATACAAAACACAGCTTAAACTGCGTCAAAAACATTAGACTATGTGTTTAACACTACCCTTCTGTTCATTTTTTTATGTTGTTTTGTATAATTTAACACCACAAATTCGTATAAATAGTGGAACATTCTGTTCACGTTTAACACAAGAACAACTCTGCTTTCTCTTATGTTAAACACATCAAATCATTTCCTGTTTTTCATTTAACACTTGCTGAACAGTATCGAAAACAGTAGAAAAAGCCACAATTCTATTTTGAATTCTAGTAAAATTTTTTTTTCTTCTGTATTTAACAATAGATTCTAGGTAATTTCTATAACACGTTACCATTTAATAATAACTATTATTGAGAAAAGATATGTAGGAAAATTGAAAATTCTCAAATATCGATATTTTATTGTGTTAAACTTGTAATATTTCATCATATGTTGTAAAGATATCTCCCTTAATACTTAGCATTTACTAAGAATTCTAGCCTCTTACAGGAAATGGTGAAAAGTAAGAAAGAAAAGAAGGACATAAAAGATAAAATGTTAAGTATTTTTTCTAGTTGTTAACTTTGGAATAAGAGAAAAATGACCACGTGATCGTACTTTAGTCCAAGGCTCCTCTAAAGTTATTAAGCAACCACTTTCTAAAAACAACTTGTCATCAATATCAAAATGCTAAAAAGTCTTTTTTATTTTATTTTATTTATTTTTCTTAAAATTACTTTACTTAAAGATAAAATTTCTTTTGTAAAATATTTCTTAGAATATCAACCTTAAATTAGTTACATTCTCTATCCTTTCTTCCCTATCAGAATAATTACAATACGATAAGAATGGATCTAATAATTCCCTTCATTACGAGCTTCCCAACCTTTATTATTCTGTAATGGTTTATAATACGAAAAAGGGAGACCGTGATCCACCTGTAGAGGAACTTGATGGTTTATTTTAAATATCCACCATTTTGAAGGGTAAATTTTTATTTATTTTATTTAAAAATTTAACAGAAGAAAGTAATAATATTAATAAAATATATTGTCTACGCAGTATTAAAAAAAATAGTCATTAAGAAGCAGTTAACAACGCCCAAAATCAATGTAGATACGTCATAAAATTGATGTGTTTTTTTAAAATAATTAAACAAGCAAATAATTAATTATTTTAATAAATAAATAAATTTTATTAATTTATTAGTTTTTTTTTATTTATTTATTGTATAATTTCCTTGAAAATGTATTTATTATAAGGTATTAAAACCTATTTTATCATACATTGTTGGACTTACAACATACATTATCTTTGTCGAAGTATAATCAATAATGTCGCTTTAGAAAATATCGATTCTGTCTTTAACTTGTATATCCTATATATGAACGAAATTTCCATTATATTTTCTTACCATTTTTTGTTTTTTTTTAAAACAATAAACACACTTAAAATTGAATTTTTAACACTTAAAAATCCCTTTAAAGTATGTCGTAATAATTACATTTAAGTGACGTGTTACACAATAACTGCAGATCCTAGTGTATTCGAAAATGCCATTATTCATAAACAATTAAAAAATCGAATATTTTACTGTCTGCAAGCCGAATTGTGACGTATATAATTATTTAAAATAAAAATAAAAAACACTCTTGTATGGTTTCTTAATTAAAGGATTTAAGTAAAAGCCCATTTAGTTATGTGTTGTAACTGGGTGCAACATGTAAATGTCGATACACTAGATTCTTCTACACGAAGAATATAATAGTTGTGTACACTTGTCACACAATTGCTATAGCTTTAGTGTATCTAACATGTAACAATTGAAAGTTAAACACCGAAGCTTATATTAAGCATGTAATGATTTTTATAACAATACTTTAGTACACGCAGATATGAACTTTCTATAGATAGAACTAGACATATTACACAACTGTATACATTGTAATGGGCTTATACAAAACAATAGTTAGTGTTTATAAACAACAGAACATTACGAAACACGAAACATTCTCACGTTTCCATCGTTTCGTACAGATATAGATCTAGTAATCTTCTTCTGAATAATTATAGTTATAAAACTAATAGAAGATTGGTTTTATATTAAGAAAATAGAAAGATAGTTGAGTTATTTTCATCTCTTTTACAGCAAAAACATGACAAAGGTCCCATTTTTTTTAGTTTCTACACCTTAATAACTATAAAAACTACAGTATTTACTTAATTTAAAGAAATTAGAAAGGTTTATAGGTTATTTTTATCTACTTTTTAAATATTTTTGCAGCAAGAACAAGAAAAAAGAGCATCATCATCATCGACGGTATGTACCGGTACATATACATAATCGGTCACCAATTAAAACCAATTATTTTTAAACTACTATAATTCCGAAATATAAATTCAATAAAGTTATTGTTGTAAATAATTTCCTAATAAAGTACAGTCATTGTTTAAAAAAGTGAATATATATTATAACTAACTCAATTAAATTTGTGTTGAAAATATAAAGGAAAACAAGCGCGTAAAACTAAAATAAAATATCAATAAAGGCACTATTATGACATAAAAAGATACCGAAAAGTGTTTTTATAACACACAAATTGCCGTCTTCTTCTTCAAGTAGCGCTCATCTTTAACCTAGTTTTAATCCCCTTTCAGGAACAAAAAAGTAAAGGAGAAATTATCAATGTTTTATCAAGAAATATTTATAAACATTTCTAGAGTTTAAATGTATAAAAATAAAAGTATAAAAATCCAATCCAATCTTTAAAAGTAGACACGCTATCAAACTACAAGTCGGTCTCTTTACTAAAGCGACATCATTCGGCCCGACAAACGACGGAGGCTCCCTCTAGTATTACCGTTCGATATAAACACGTGGATACAGTCACGTTGTGTCTTCAGCTTCTTTCGGTAACCATAGAAACTAACCGGGCTCTATAACTAAGATATAAAAGCTGGTAACGCAACACAGAAAGGAGACACTAGGAAAACACGAGACGTGTGTTAATATCATCTTGGACTAACAACATGAAAGCAACACATAAGTAAGTTTCTTTATACTACTATTTTATTCTCATAAAACAATTAATTAATTATATATAATAATAATAATAATTCGAATATGTATAGAGTTATTGTATATGGAGTTTTGAGTAATTTCTGTAGTTAAAAATTGTCATTTTTGTATATTTTTTTCGAAGCGCATTCGTAGAAAATTTTTGCTTTAAATGTTTAGTTTCCTTCTTTATAAAACTCACTCTCTGGAGACTTAATGGAATCGGTTGTTAATTTAGATCAATAGGCAATTTAACTTATGACGTCAAATCTTCATACACCTGTGAACACTAGAAAAAAAAATGAAGGAAACACTGTTCTGGTGTGACGTTTCTTAGAAATAATAACGAATCACTTGTTTGAAATACATTAGTGTAGATATTTATAGTATTTTTAGTGCTCTTTACTTGATCTAGTGTCATTATTTCTTCATTCACGTACGTGTGTGTCTGTATGTGATTTTCTTTTTTTTTTTTTTTTTTTAGAAAATAGTTTAAATTATAAAATGCAAAATCAAATTTATAAATATTATTAATAATCTTTGGATTTTTAATTTCCTTTTTTTTTGTCATGTATAATGTGCGGGAATCTTCTGTAATATCTTGTGTTAAGTCTTGTATCAGATTTCATTCCAAGGACATTCTTGGATAGTAAAATGATAGTAAAATATGAAATTGCATATCCTTAACAAAGGACAATTTATAAATATATAAAATTCAGGGTTTTATAACGAAAAAAAAAAAAGTTAATATTAGTTTTATTTGATCATTTCTTCTACTTGTTTTAAATGATTAATTTTGCATCGTAACGTTTGTGTAGATGTAATACAACTTTTTGAATAGATAGAATTTAAACAAAGGGAGTATATTTTACAGTTTAAATCAATATTTTTAAAAGAATTTATTTTATAATTAATTCCTAAAAAAAAAATTAAATAATCCATCGACATTTCGTTCCAAAATTACGCCAATTATTAAGTAATATTTATGTAATTTTTACTATTTTTAGAATGTTTATTATATATAGGCCTATATATATTTTATGATAAAAAATCTATTTAAAAATTTGCAATAGAATAAACGAAATTTGTACTTGACCCACTTTTCTTTTATCTCAAGTAAAAATTTTCCATTTATCATAGAGTGCATTCTTATTTAAACTTTTAATATTAAAAAAATATTTTACGAATTTCTCAAAAAATATTTATTTCTTTTACTTTGAAATTTTATACAATTTTCCTTGTTGCATCTGTAATCCTGCAACATTTACCTGTGTATCTACTCTCTCTCTCTCTCTCTCTCTTTCTCTCCTTGGATCGATGTTGCAGGTAAAGCCACATCCAGGAGCTACCTCAACAGAGACACTATCACTTGAAAAAAAATTAAATTTCTCGTTAATAAAATTACTTAATATTAAAAATATTTTAGTATTAGAATATTTATAATCTATTCGAATTTTTTACAATATATTCTCGTGCATAACACCTTTTTTTATATTTTTTAAAAGAATTTTTTTGTTTCGTGTTTCTTGCATAAGAATACATTGATCTCATTGCACTGTTTTTATTTTCATATATTTAAAATAAATATTATTGTAGGAACATTGCCATTTCAAATGGGAATGTCTGAAAAATATTCTAAAATGTCATTTTTAATAAATCGTTTAGAAAGTTGTTTTTTTAAAATCGATTTATATCTAAAAAAATCCAATCATTAAATGATGCTCTTAGGGAGTCTGTTATAAAATGTTACTCTTTTCAATATATTTTCTGGATAATATCACGTATAAACCTTAATAAAGAGGATTTATTTTTGTTTTAAAAAATTTACTTTCTTTTATTTATTCACGCCTACATCCTGTAACAATTTAAAATCTTTTATAGTCTCTTTAAGTAGATTAATCGTTGTTCTTAGGGTCCATTAATCATTAACAGCGCATTAATTATTGTTTAATGTTAAAAAATAATTGAATTTTATAGCTTCTTATTTATATTTCGATCTAAGAAGATCCTTCGTTAATTTTATATCTTTCTTTTTAATCCTTTAGATGAATTTTAGAAGAATGGAAAACCAAGAATTCAAAGAAATTTTTAATGGTACAAGTGCATATTCTGAAGTCATATCTGAAAATTCTGCCAATTTATCAGATGATTTAAGTCCTTCTAGTGCATCCTTGTTACAAGAAGCGATCGTGACTTTATTGACATTGCTTCTACTATCTGGAATTCTTACAAACAGTATTTTCTTCTTAGTATTTTATAGTCAAGCTAAACTTAGATCATTTTCGAATCGTTTCGTTCTGTGTCTATGTACTTCTCACTTATTGCAATCAATTTTAGTAGCACCTTTCACATTAACTTCAGTGATTAATCAAAGTTGGGTTTTCGGAGAAGTATGGTGTCAACTTAATGGTATGGCATCATTATTTGTAACAATGGCATCCGTTCTTTCGTTGCTGATGATTGCTATAGATCGAAATTATGCAGTTAATAGCCCACTTCACTATTCGCGAACTGTTACAAAATCCAGGACGTCTATATTAATCCTTTCTATATGGACGTTCTCATTCTTATCTTCTATCCCACCGTTATGTGGAATTGGAAGGATTCAGTACCGCCCAGAATGGTTTACCTGTACTATATTATGGACTGATAGTGATAAATATACAGCGTTATATTCGGTATATCTTCTAACATTTGGCTTCTTAATTCCATTCCTTACCATGGCTTGTATCTATGTATCTATGTACAGAGCAGCAAAGAATAATAGCGCAAGAGCTCGTAAGCATAGTCTCACTAGCAGTTGTAAGCAAGCCATAATCAGCACCCCTAAGAAGTCTTCAACTAGAAGAAGAAGTTCTTGTGGTAGCCAATCTTCGCTCTTTGGAGAAGAATGGAAAGCTGCAAAAACTGGACTCTTTGTTGTATTGTCCTTTATTCTATGCTGGTTGCCAATGTTTTCTGTTATATTAACAGAAACTTTTACGGATTATGGATCTCAACTGCCACAATGGATAACTTCCACGGCCATCTTGCTCTCAACTAGTGCATGCATCATTAATCCTTATCTATATGTGTATAGAAACAAATCGACTAGGAGCCAACTAAAAAAGATGCTTCATCTCTGCTCGAAGGAGAAAAAAAATCGGAGTTCTTTATACGCACAAAATAGAAGACTATTCGTTCCATCCATACCTTCATCTACATTTAAAGTCCCAATCGAAACAACGTGTATCTCACCATGGCCAAGCTTTACTATTTATGGAAGGAAGTCTGAACAAATGTCTTGCATTACTTCTCCTATCGAAAAAAATCCTCAACACTCTCTCGAACAAGGCATTCTTAATAATAATCTTCTAAATGCTATGGACTTAGATGTATCAACACTTAAATCTTCCAATAGAATGATGATTTTCAAACTCAGATGCAATGCAAAGAATAAAAAAGAATCTATAGAAGAAGCTGATCCTAACTCCCAATCAGCAAAGAAAAACGAAAGTACAAAAATGACTCTGTCACGAACAAAATCTATGACTGTTTTTGGAAATTTACTCCCTCAGGAAGTTATCTCTCAAGAGGGGGGTCAAAGGAGAAAATCTTTTGTAATGACACGTTACAGAGTTCAAGGTTCAGATGAAACGAATTCCACTTCTATCGAATCTCAAGATTCAATTCCATCTACAAACGTAGTATCCGATCTATCAGGGAAAGAAAGGAGAATATTGTATCGTCAATGGAACAGATCAGGATCCGAAGACGCAGGCTACATTAGTCGAAGAAGCAGTATTTGTTCCATTGTCAGTAGTGATTCTGATAATTTGGGAAAAATTTTGGAGCTTTAAATTAAAAATTTATTAATTCTTAACTTGTAATTTATATTTTGTGATCTTAAAAAAAACTGTTTTCCTCATAAAATATTGTACAAAATTTTAAAATTATATTAAAAATGAAATTTACGCTTTTAAATTTGTTTCATTGTGTAATTTATTTTGATACTTGAAATAACTTTAATACAGTTTAATAGTTTAAAAATTTAAATCAAGATTGTTGCTGAAATTATATTTTACTAATTTTAAATGATATTTTAATTAAAATATATAAATAAAACGTAAAAAATGATTTTAAAAAGTAAAAAAAAAAAATAATTTAAATAATTTCATAAACATAGGCGGTCCTCCGTATACGCGTAAGATAAAAACATCTTAGCGCTATTCTGTCGATTAAAATTTAAAATAAGCGAATGAAATTCGACATTTGAAATAACTCCGCCCATTTCTATTTCGTTAACCAATTATCTTTAATTTAATTAATTATTCAGACAATAAATAAAATTTTTTAAGCATTAAATATAAAAAATATCGCAGAAAACTCACAATATTTCTTAAAAAAAATAATAATATTTTATAGAAAAATTAAGTTAAATTTGGAATTTAGTTTATTTTTAATATTTTTAATTAGACATTTATAGATAAATTATCTTAGTGTAAGGAGTAAAAAAATTAGTCTAATCTTAAATAGGTCATGATTCCAATAAGTATATAATTTTCATGACATTATCTGTATCTACAGAAGCAGTGATTTAAAAAGGAAACAATCAATGGGTGAAAGCTACAGGTTGTCAAATGAAGGCAATCAATAGATAGGTCAAGTTGATTATATAAAATTGGTAAAATATTCTAGTAAACATCATTTATGACCCACTTACTGTAGATCGTATATAAATTTATTTTGCTAATCCCTTTCCAAAGTAGTTACCAACCAACTTTGAAGCGTAAAGATTTTACAAAATACAACTTATTGATTTCTTTCAACCTAATTTTATCCACATACTACAATTGTCATGAGGAAATTAAAAGTTTTGTCTGTGTGTTTTTTACAGCTTAGCTAATGTTTTCAAGCTGAGTTTTTTCTATAAAAAAGTCCTTGTTCTAGTTTATTCTTCATCATCCAGGTATCAAATAATATAACTATTGCTACATATATTACACACTCTCCTGTGTTAGCCACATAATCCAATCGCCTTTACGTCAGCATTTACGTCAATACTTGACAAAAATTCAAAAAAAAAAAAAAAGGACATCCTTGAATCCATTATATTGTTCAATAAAAGTGTATAGAGTGTTAAAAAAATCCATTTTTTTTTGAGCTCATAATCTCACTTTGTAGCCTTTTAACAACCTTCATAATTACCTTCCAACTGTTATTTAATATTATTTATTAATGTAAATAAATGCTATAAGTGGTAAACTTACCCAAAACATAATAATTTACAACATGAATAATTTATCTGAAAAATTTATAACATGCTAAATAATGTAATTAGTAAAGTAAACTAATAAATTTAACTAATGATAAACTTGTATAATTTATTGATCATTTGCATCCTCTTCTCTCATCTTCCACATCTTTGGTAGAAATCTCATCTCAATAAATATTTTTTGAATAAAATATTTACAAATTAAAGTTATATAAAAAATTTTTTAAATATATTTATTTCTATTTAAATTTATTCTTTAACTACATTTAAAGTAAGTAATTACCTGTATTATTAATAAATACATAAATTGGTTTTTCTCATTTTAATAAAATTTTCAATTAAAATTTAACCATTTCTAATTAAAAGTATTATAT